TTTAGCCCTTTACTCCAACATGGAAAGGCTGGTGGGGCTTTCTAGAAAGCTGCTCAAAGTGTGGGCAGTCCCGGGGAGGATGTGGGCAAACCCTCCATGACCATCCCTAGACCAGCCTTAGCAGCTCTAAGCACAGCCTCTTTCCTTTAACACACCGGCAGCTGGGAGAGGCCCCACGTCATGTACGGGCAACTGCTGGATTGGCTTCGCTATTTGGTAGCCTGGCAGCCTGTCATCATTGGCCTGGTACAAGGCATCAACTACATCCTGGGCCTCGAGTAATCAGGCAGAAGAGCATCCACCCACCATGGACCTCAGGGCACACTCCTCCCTGCCCTTCAAGACCTCCTGGGTGGGAAAGACTCAAAGGGGCACTTGGGCCACTCAGGACCCTCCTGGCTGTGTCCGGGCAGGGGAGGGATATGATGGCGAGCTAGCCAGTGGGCTGTCAGCAGTGGGGGCTTTTTAAAAGAAAACTATTTTGATGAATATATTTAAAAACCTTTTTTATTGTGGAGCATAGGAACTGCCCCAACTCCTGCAGGCCTTATCCTCCTGCTTGAGCAAGGCGGGAGCAGAGCCACAACCTTTCTGGTGTAAAGGAGCCTCCTCACCTCTGGCTGAGAGCCTCAGCCCACCCATCTCTCCTTCCCTCGAAGGGGCTCAAGCCTGGCACGCTCAGCGTGGAAGAGCTGAAGCCCTCCCACTGGTGCCACAGAGGAGCACTGTGTGGTGAGGTATCTTCTACCTTCCCCTGTCCAGGAGCCATAGGCTGGTTGAGGCAAGTGGAATCTTGTGACTTTTCCAGTGAGGGAAGCCTTGGGACCTCAGAATGCCTTGAGGATTTGTTTGGGGGCAGGAGCAGTTTGGGTGACCTGCCCGGAGCAAACCTGCACTCAGCCAGAACGGAGGCCATGGGAGCTGCAATGATTGAGGGCCCCTTGTGCCCGGAAGTGGCAGTATATACCACAGGCCATTCAGCCACATCACTTCCTTCCCAGAAAGCCTGTGTGAATGTGTGCGTGCGTCTGAGTGGGTGCGGCAGAGGGATTGTGACAGACAAGAAAGAGACTTTGTTCCCTTGAAGCTGGCAGGGGATTCCCGGCCAGAGAATGTCCCTGCGTCAGCTTTGTTGTTCATGGGTCCTGTCTGGGCCTGGCAGGGGAAGTAGGAGGAGGGGGAGGCCCAGGTGAGTATGGCTTCTGAAAAGGGATTCCAGGGAGGCCCAGCCCTGGTCCTAGGAGTTGTGCGGACGTGGGAGGGTAAACATGGGGCTACTAGGGGCCTCGGCCCATCTGGGCCTACCCCTTCAAGGGCAGCAAGAACCAGGAAGGATCTTGTCACTCCATTCTGAATAAAGCTCCATGAGCTGGGTTGGAAAGCTGAACATCATCTTGCTTTTCTTCTTCCCACCTCCTTCCCTGGGGCCCCCGGGGATGCCTTGCCTTGGCTGCCTTTTGCTGTTCCTGTTTGAGGGTTGGCCCCGCTCAGCATCCCGGGGAGTGGTGGAATGCCGGGCTCCTGTCCTGTGGTAGAAGGGGCCCAGGGGCATCACTGGGTGGTTGTGTCCTTACCACCTCGAGGTCAGTTCCCTGCCATCACCCCTTCTCAGGGCCATTCTCAACGTTGGCTGTCTTACCCAGCTGTGGCTTCCCACAGTCCCCCACCTTTCATGCCATCCTCAGAGTGGACTGGGGGCTGGTTGAAGGGTCCAGGGATCTTCCAATCCCCACATCAGGCTCATGTGAGAAGCTGAAGCCAACTGTCCAAGACTCGTTTTATATTTCACCAGTCCTGAGCCCTAGGACCTCCCAGTGGCCCAACTCTAGTCTTGGTGACTCTGAAGTAGAATCCCACCTCCTTTCCCTCCCTCCCCTCACCCCCAAGCCCCAAAGGATTGTGTCTTGGAGCCCCAGGCAGCCTTGCCTCCTGACTTAACTGCTGGGGGTGCTGGAAGGAGTTTCCCTGTGTCCTGCAGCCTAGCAGCTCCTGGCGAGAGACCAAGAGTTAAAAAATGCCAAGTAGAGCTCTGGAGAGCAGAATGCATGGCTTTGTCTTCTGCCTCTAAATGAGGAATATGAGTCTGGTTTCCACACCAGTAACACCCCCTTGGGATTGCAGCAGACGATGTTCTTGACATCCTCTAAAGCCAATCCTGTGTCCTGGCCTCCCTGGCTCTGTCCCCAGCTCTCCTATCCTCCTGACCACAGAAGTCACAAACTCTAGTCACTCAGGTTTTGTCCTTCACACTTGATACATGGATCACCAGTCCTCCTCTGGATCGTTCTGCCTCCATGACCCTGACAGTGAGTGCCTCACTCACTGCCCACTAGTCCTGCCTCTGCCGCAGTCCCAGCTCTATCTGTCCCATCAGCAACTAGACTGGAGTGTTGCTTGAGCCAGTGTGGGGCCACTCCCCCTCTTCCTAGGGAGTGCCCTCCTTTTAGCACCAGGGCTCCAGCTCACGTTTCAAGTTCTCAGCGTGGCTCTGCGAGGTCCTGCGGACAAGTCTGGGAAGTACTCTCGGCGCAGTTCCCATGGCGGGGCTCACATGGGAAAAGCAGAGTGGAACCGCGCTGTGGCGCTCCGGAATGGTGATTCCGAAAAGTAGGGCTCTTCAGACTTCTTGGGAGCCAGGTACGGGGAATCTAGACTTCCTGGGGAACCTAGACCTGTAGCTCTGGGATGAGAGAAGTGAGAAGAGTTCATCGTGACTCTGGGTGGGTGTTGGTTTAGGGGAGTGGGGAGCCTGAGAAAGGTCTGGATGTGGATAGACTTGGGTGCCATTGAACATGAAATGGTCAAATTGATCTAACACATTGGAGTTCCCAGTGCCTACAAGAGTTGTTCCCTTGAATAACAACATGGAGGAAGCAGGAGGCCTGCTCATAGAAGCAAAGATCTGGCTCTGAAGAGCAAAGATGGATACTAAAGTCCTGACCCTTCGCTGGGATGGAAGAATTGACCTGTGAGAGACTTTCATTGGTCCCATACCCTTTGTGACCCTGGAGGTTACGGATATGGGTGGATTAAAGACCGTACCCAGTCTGATGCTGGCTGGCGAGTAAGGGCACTAGGAAATAGCAGGAAGCTTCCAGTATCTCAGCCTACTTTAGATTCCCTGTTAGAATCAAAGTGAAAGTGAAATAGGGGCCAGTGCTTTCCCAGCATGATTTCACTGGATCCTGCCCTTCCCAGAACAGCTCCACGGTGAGGAGAGCTTTATCTCCCTTCTGGCTGGGTAAGTCCCTGGCCCCTCTTTGCATGTGTTTCTGTGTCTATACTGAAGGGGTTAGCTTGCACTGGAAACTAACATGTTACATAGTATGTTAACAGAGCTCAGGCGAGGAAAGACTGTCCCTAGATGACCCTCCAGCTTTGGGTGCTGAAGAGCTCCAGCCTCGGCCACATGCCTGCCTTCCAGGAGCTGCCGGTGGGGACAGATGGACAGGACAGAGTGAATAGTAGTGCCTGGCAGTCCCCTGCGAGCCAGATCTAGGCAGGGCTGTGGGATCTGCAGGAAGCACGGTTGGGATCTTAGGCCAGCTTTTTTTTTTTTTTTTCCTGCCTCAGGTTGTGGTAAGCTGGTTTGGTGTCCACGCTGGCCAGGTAGTCCCGGCGGAAGCTGTCAAACAGGCCGCTGCTTTTGAGCTGCTCCAGGATGAGCATGATGAGCTACGGGTCCCTGGGAGGCAGCGAGGCCGGGTTGATGGGGCCTCCGCTCCGCCATGCCTGCGCCCCGAGCCAGCGAGGGGAGGGAGACCCAATGCGGCTGCCTCTCAGGGGCAGAGGTCGTGCTGAGGTGGAGGAGGAGTGGGAACCGGAGCCAGCAGCCAGGGGGGAGAGAGAGGGTGGAGGGGACGGAGAAGGAGGGGGAGGGGATGGAGAAGGAGGGAGAGGGGCAGAGAAGCCGGCGGCAGCGGGAGCAGAGGCAGGTTCTGAGGCCTAGGCCAGCTTACTCACCACTCCCCCTCCCCGCCCCCTGCCTGCCCCCAAAGAGGAAGAGGCCATAACCACGTACATATATAAAGCCATAGAGCCAAGAACACCAGCTCCTGGCACATCATGACCACCAGACAGAGCTGGACACCAGGTGGGACCTGGGGCTGTGCATGGGCGGCTGGGGTGAGGAGGAGGGTAGAGGACGGGTTGGGGATAGAACATGGGGGTGGGAGTGGTCTGAGAACAGAATGGAGCCGTGGGTTGCCCCAAGCCTTAACTCCCAGGTGACAGACTCCAGACGCTGTGGCTCTGGCTCCATTCCAGAGTCTCCCTGTGTTCCTTTCAAAAAGGGCCGGGAGGCAGGAGCTGAGGGTCCTTCTGCCCCTCCAATTCCCTAAGCAGAGCCCAGGAATCTCCGGGCCAGAGCTATCCAGGCAGCAAGTCCCTCAGCTAAGATCTGAGCCCGGGTGCTGAGCATTCCCAGGTGGCCCGGCAGCTCTTGATCTCCGTGACTGTCCTTTCCTCAGACTCCAGCCCTTTGTGGTTCCTGTTCCTGTTCCTGTGTGCCCACATCGTCTCCCATTTGGCAAGAGCCACACCTATACCCCAGGCCGGCACAGCTGCTGCAGTCTCAGCTGGGATCACAAAAGACCCCTCCCCCTCCCGCCCCTCAGCGCTCCCCGCAACTAAGCAGTGCCCAGCATTGGAGGTGACCTGGCCAGAAGATGGACTCTCACTAAGTAAGGAACAATTCTGAAGAAAGTCCAGGAGGTCACAGTGGTTAGAAGGGAGGCTGTTAGCACAGAGGGTCCAAGGGTGGGGTTGACTCCTGAATATACCCCCTGCCCTTCTGCCATGTAGCCCACTACCAACCCGGTCAGCTTGGCTGAGCACTCAGCGTTCTGTCTCCCACCCAGCATTATGAGTATGGGCACGGGGCCCTGCTCCCAAGATGCTCCCTATCAAATGGGACAGAGTATTCAGACAAGGAAAGGTGAGAAGCTGCAGAGCCTGACGGCCGTGGGCTCCAAGGCCCTGCCCCTCCTCTCAGAGCCCACTTGCTTCTGGCCACCTCAGGAGGAGTGGCCTCAGTAGGGCTGCCCCCTTGGCTGGGGGTTCTAGTCACTGAAGCTGGGCACTAGGTCTCCTGAATAAACAAGCTCAGGAGTTATCACCTGAACCAAGGACCTATCCCCCAGACTCTCGCTCAGCCCTGGGCCTCCGTGGTAGACAAGTGCACTTCTGCTTTAATGGACTTTCGCACCTGGGTGGTGTGCCAAGCAGCACTCTAGGTTCCTGGATCGTGGCGCTGGGGAGGGTGGGCAGGCCACAGAAGAGAGGGTGGGGGGCTGCTCTATGGAAAGGCTAAGGGCTGACAGCCACTTGTGCTCCTAGATGGAACGCTGACTCTGTCCTGTACCGCCTGTAGCCGCTTCCACCACTTCAGCATTCTCTACTGGCTGGGCAATGGTTCTTTCATCGAGCACCTCCCAGACGGGCTGCAGGAGGGCAACACCAGGTGAGGGGCATGGGGATGAGGCCCACAGGAGGGAGGCCTCCTCCTGCCGTCCTCTCATGGCCTTTCTTCTCTGCTGCAGCTGGGAGCACAGGGGTGCCAGCACTCAGCTGAAGAAGGCCTTGGTGCTGGAGGAGCTGAGCCCCGTCTTGCGCAACACCAACTTCTCTTGTGTTTTCACGGATCCTGAGTACACTGTCCAGCGCCACGTTGTCCTGGCCGATCTCTTGGTGAGGAACCTGAGGGAAGGTTTCCAGGGATGGGCAGAGCTCTGCTCCAGTGTGGGGAGGAAAGGGTGGGCTATGCCCCGAGCAGTCTCCAGCTAAGGACCACCACTCCCCCAAACCCCAGGCCCAAGGTGGAACTACAGAGAACTTCAGACTCAAGCAGAGGAGGTGTGGCCTAGAGGAAAGTGACCAGATATCCCTCCTCCTTGGCCCTGATCCTTGTCTGCCTTCACTTCCCAGGCTGGGCTGAGGACACTCATGCCCCCGACTCAAGAAGCCTCCAGAGGGTTCCCTCTGCCTCACCATCCTGACAGGTGAACTCAAGCCTGGTTGAAACGCCACCTCTTCATTTAGGTCTAGGCTGTCAGCTCAGGCCACAATCTGTCAACTTAATGCTATATATTTGTATGGCATACCTCGTTTTATTGTGCTTCACAGATCATGCATTTTTTACAAATTGCAGGTTTGTGGCAACCCTGTGTTGAGTAAGTCTATTGGCACTATTTTTCTAACAGCATTTGTTCACTTCATGTCATATTTTGGTAATTCTTGCAATATTTCAAACTTCTTCCTGTGATCAGTGGTCTTTGATGTTACAATTGTGACTGTTTTTGGGGTGCCATGAATCATGCTCATATAAGATGGTAAACTTAATTGACAAATGTATGTGTTCTGACTGTTCTGACTGCCTATTCCCTCTCTCTCCCCCTCTCCTTGAGCCTCCCTATTCCCCAAGACATAACAGTATTGAAATTAGGCCAAGTAATAACCCTACAGTGACCTCTAAATGTCCAGTAAAAGGAAGAGTCACCTGTCTCTCACTTTAAATCGAAAGCTAGAATTGATTCAGCTTAGTGAGGAAGGCATGTCAAAAGCCCAGATAGGCAACAACCTAGGCCTCCCTCTTACACCAAATAGCCAAGTGGTGAATGCAAAGGAAAAGTTCTTGAAGGAAATTAAAAGTGCTACTCCAGGGAACACATTGATAAGAAAATGAAAGTCTTACTGCTGATATGGAGAAAGTTTTGGTGGTCTAGATAGGTGAAACCAACCACATTCCTTTAAACCATAGCCTAACCCAAGCAAGGCCCCAACTCTTTGATTCTGTGAAGGCTGAGAGAAGTGAGGAGGCTGCAATAGAAAAATTGGAAGCTAGCAGAGTTTGGTTCATGAAGTTTAAGAAGCCATCTCCATAACATAGAAGTGCAAGGTGAAGCAGCCAGTGCTGATGTGGAAGCTACAGCAAGTTATCCAGGAAGTCTAGCTGAGATAATTAATGAAGATTGCTACTCTCTCTTTTTTAAAAAATATATTTTATTGATTTTTTACAGAGAGGAAGGGAGAAGGATAGAGAGCTAGAAACATCGATGAGAGAGAAACATTGATCAGCCACCTCCTGCACACCCCCCACTGGGGATGTGCCTGCAACCAAGGTACATGCCCTTGGCCGAAATCGAACCCGGGACCCTTCAGTCTGCAGGCCGATGCTCTATCCAGTGATCCAAATCGGATGCCTGCAATAACAGATTTTCAATGTAGATCAAACGGTCTTCTAATGGAAGATGATGCCATCTAGGAATTTCACAGCTAGAGAGGAGAAGCAAATGCCTGGCTTCAAAGTCTCAAAGGGCAGGCTGAGCCCTGGCCGTTCATTGTGGCTTATTTGGTTGAGCACAATCATGTCCAGGTTGGGGGCTTGGTCCTCAGTAGGGGGTGTGCAGAAGGCAGCTGATCCATGTTTCTCTTTCTAAAATCAATACCAAAAAAATTTTTTTAAGGGCAGGCTGACTTTGTTAGGAGCTAATGCAGCTGCTGACTTTAAGTTGAAGTCAGTGCTCATTTACCCTTCTGAAAATCCTAGGCCTCTTAAGAACTATGCTAAATCTATTCTGCCTGTGCTCTAGAAATGGAACAAAGCCTATATATGATAGCACATCTGTTTACAATATGATTTATTAAATATTTTTGGGACCTACTGCTCAGAACAAACTATTCCTTTGAAAATAATGCTGCTCATTGACAAACACCTGGTCACCCAAGAGCTCTGATGGAAATGAACAAGATTAATGTTTTCATGCTGCTAACATTCATTTTGCAATCTGTGGATCAAGGAGTAATTTCAATTTTAAAGTCTTATTATTTAAGAAATACATTTCATAATGTGATAGTTGCCATAGTAATTCCTCTGATGGATCTGGGCAAAGTGAATTAAAAACCTTCTGGAGAAGATTCACTATTCTTTATTAAGAACATTAGTGATTCATGGGGAAAGGTGAAATATCATCATTAGCAGGAGTTGGAAAAAGTTGATTCCAACCCTCATGGGTGACTTGGAAGGGTTCAAGACTCCAGTGGAGGAAGTAACTTTATATGATGTGGAAATAGGAAGAGAATTAGAAGTGGACCCTGAAGATGTAACTGAATTGCTACAATCTCATGATAAAACTTTAATGGATGAAGAGTTGCTTCTTGTGGATGAGCAAAGTGGTTTCTTGAGGTGGAATCTATTAGTGGTGAAGATGCTGTAAAGATTTGTTGAAATGACAATAAAAGATTTAGAATATTACTTAGATGATAAAGCAGCAGCAGGGTTTGGAGGACTGACTCCAGCCCTGGCTGGCATGGCTCAGTTGAAGTGTTGTCCCATGCACCAAAGGGTGATGGTGGGTTTGATCCCTGGTCAGGCCATGTGCAGGAGGCTACTGATTAATGTATCTCACATTGATGTTTCTCTCTCCCTCCTCTCTCTCTCAAAATCAATTAAAAAAAAAAAAAGGATTGACTCCAATTTTTTAAATATTTTTTGCTGTTGTTTTGTTTTTGGAGAGACATTGATGTGAGAACAGAACATCAATTGGCTGCCTCCTGCACATTCCCTACCAGAGATGAAGCCTGCAACCTGGGCATGTGCCCTGACCATAAACCAGCAACCTTTTGGTGCATGAGACAATGTCCAATTGAACAACACCGGCTAGGGCTCGACTCCAATTTTAAAAGAAGTTCTGTAGATAAAAATACTATTAAACAGCATTGCATTCTATAACTTATTCGTGAAAGTCAATCAGTGCAGCAAACTTCATTTTCTTATTTTAAGAAATTGCCACAGTCATTCCAACCCTCAGCCATTCTGCTCTTATCAGCAGCCAACATCAAGGCAAGACCCTCTACCAGCAAAAAGATTACAACTCACTGAAAGCTCAGATGGTGAATAGCATTTTTTAGCTATGATGTGTTTTTTAGTTAATGTACGTTGTTTAGACACGCTACTGCACACTTAATAGACTACAGTGGAAACCAAAATATTTTGTAACTGACTTTATTGCAATATTCACTTTGTTGTAGTGGTCTGGAACCGAACCTGCAATATCTAAACTAGCCTGTATTGTCCTCCCTCCCCCAATAGATTGGGCAGAGGCTGCTTCTGATACACAATTGTATCTTTTTTTAAAAAATACATTTTTATTGACTTCAGAGAGGAAGGGAGAGGGAGATAGAAACATCAATGATGATAGAGAATCCTCGATCGGCTGGCTCCTGCAAGTCCCCCACTGGGAATCAAGCCCGCAACCCAGGCATGTGCCCTTGACAGGAATCAAACCCGGGACCCTTCAGTCCACAGGCTGACGCTCTATCCATTGAGCCAGATCGGCTAGGGCCACAGTTGTGTCTTTGTTATACCTAGCAAGGCCCACAATGGACATTCATAGGTGATTTTCAGTGGAGGCAAGCTGACATCTTCTGATTTAGGCCATTCTCCCATTCACAGAACTTGGCCCATTCTAAGAGGGACTATGGGAAGAGTACCATTCAGAAGTTAAAGACAAAACCAGATTCAGGGGACAGAGGCCCTCAGAAAAAGACAGCCCATACTGCTCCATGAGCAGAAGCCAGGAGAAGGGACTTGAAAGAAGGTAGGTGGTCTGAAGACTGAGCAGGAACAAAGTATGCTCTAACAAGCCCAGATTCCCCTTCTTTTCCCACACAGATCAGGCAGCTTAGCAGCCAAGGGAGAAAAATAGACTTTATTTACAAGTAATAACATTTAGAAAAGATCCATCCCTGGCCCTTAAAAACCTTCCCATCAATCCAAATCCCACCCCAGTACAAGTCTAGAGAAGGTGGGGGATGAGCTGTCCCCACCCTCCCCCACCCCAGCAAGCCTGGCGGTCATGGAAAAGAGCATCCTCTGGGTAACTGTGCCCTTGGATGGATGGGAGCACCTTATCCCCAGGTGCTCCCACTAGGTCAATGCCCAACCATAGACTTTAACAAGGGCCCTTGGTAAGCCTAGCCACCAGCAACAGCAGGGATCAGGGCCTGCTCCTCCAATGGTCCCTTCTAAATACAGAGGCTGAGGAGGACTGGCTGGGCCCAAGGACCCAGTCCTCAAAGCCAGCCTCAAATCTCGTCATGGAGAAGTGACTTTGCTTTGTGAAAACAGGAGGCAAGGTAGGGAGAGGACCCAGACTGTTCGGGCTCCAGGCCAATTCTGAAGACACATCTGTTCTCCTAGTGAAGGCTCTGATAAAGGTCCAGGTACCAGGCCAAGGTGTGCCAGGCATCACTGTCTCTAGGGGTTTGGCCACTGTTGGCCTGAAAGCTGAGAGAAGGCACTGAGGGGGACAGCATCAGGCAAGGGCAGCATCAGGGACACAGGTGGGGCCACTCACTGGTACTGGTCCTTTAGTGCTTTGCCTGAAAGAGAGAAACAGTCACATGGCTGTGATATCAGCCTGCACCAGCTGGCGTAGGAAGACCTCTTCCTGCTCCCATAGCCCCGACTAGGATCCCTTCCATGGTGTGGCCCTGGACAGATCTACCTTCAGGTTACCAGTTGCTAGATGTGTCTAAGCAACTCTGGATTTTCTCAGGAGTGGAGTTGTCTGCCTCCTCTCCTCAATAATAAGCCATTGACCAAGACAAGGAGCACCTGCTTAGCCCCCAGCAGGCCTGCCCTGGAAGCGGTCCCATACTTCCACTGGGGTTCCTAAGAGTTAAGCCTCCCTCTTCCCTGCCAGTGCCTCCACCTTGCTCTTGGCCCGAGAAGTGGCGGCAACGATGGCAGCAGCAGTGGCAGCGCTGGCTGTGGTGGTGGCAATGCGAGGAGAGCGACGGGTTCCACTGCTGGTGTTGGGAGAGGCCTTGGGCAGGGCTTTCTTTGAGGCCCCCCTCCGCAGAAGGCTATTCCCAAGCTTCTTGGGCGTGTTGAGGATGCTGAAGGTCATGGACTGGCGGCGATCAGCCTGTGGGGAGGGGCTGTCAAATGAGGCTCACTGCTGCTTTCCCAGGCCAACCTGCTGCTCTAGGGTCTCCCTTCAGCCCCCAACTAACCTGTTTAACAACAGCGGGAGCTGCTTTCTTCTGGGCCTCTGTAGTGCTCTGTTTGCGCCCTTCATGTCGGTCCCGGGGAGTCATGGGTCGTGGGAAACAGCTGGTGGGCTTCTTAGACTATGGGGGAAGAGGCCGATTAGGCAGACATCAGCAAGAGGACTTCACATCCAAAGCCAGGTATCTTAGCTGAGTGGACCTATAAATCAGCTTGTCCCATCAGCAGCACCTCTTACCCCACCACCAAGGGCCAGAAGCCTCCCCTTTAATCTACTTTTCAAACTTGGTGAGCTGACCTGGCAGGCTGCTAGAATAAAACCCAGGAGCCAACGTCTCCTACCTCAGGGGTGCCAGGGCCCTGGTGGGGCTCCAAGGAGACCCGTTTGCGCTGCCGGGTGGTGATGCCAGTGCCCTCAGCTATCTGGGTTGGCTGCATGCTGGCTCGGCGCAGGGTCTCCTGGGGGTCACCAGTTTTCATCTCTTCATCTGTGATGGTCGCCAGGCTCAGGGAAGGCTGCATGGGGTGGAAGTGGTCAATGGACCCAGGCTGTTGGAGATGCAACAGGATGGCCCAGATTCTCTTCACTGGCCTGGCACGTGGGACAGCTGAAGGCTTCATATCGCAAAAGGCCTCCCTGTTGTCTTCCCTGGCACAATGGTTACCGAAGAGGAGTCCCAAGCAAACCTCTCTACCTCCTACCCATCCACAGGAACTTCACCCCTGAGCTCCCTCCCTTCCAGCTATTCTACTAGAGCCATGGTCACCAAACTGCGGCTCACAAGCCACATGCGGCTCTTTGGCCCCTTGAGTGTGGCTCTTCCACAAAATACCACATGCGGACGAGCGTACAGTGCGATTGAAACT